TCTGAGCTTACTCAACTTCAAGAAGAAATGGCTGAGCGAGTTTAGACAGAAGTGGTTGCACGTATTCATAGAGAGGTATCACAGAGAGTATCATAGATGGAGGCCAGCTTTGAGAGGAGATTCCAAGAGCACATGCGCTTACTTAGCCAGCAATATTCTATGAATGCTACACAACCCCAGACTGCTGGTCCTTCTTTTGGAGGATTTAAACCTGATCACTTAGCACCTCCTACTTAGAGACATTGATATTTAAAACTTATATTATATATGTTTATATATATGTATTGCATATGTATATATATGGTGTGTAGGATGAGAAGTTAGTATATATTTATTAACTTAAACTAGTTTTTAGTTATGTAGTATTTGAGTTTAAATAAGTAAAATATATAGTATTAATAAAATTTAACAATCCTATAGTAAAAAGAAAATAATTACAATATAATATTTCGCAAAGAAATAGCATATATATATCTTTATCTAAACTAGAATTTTTGTAATTAATTATTTGCTCAAAAATTGATTCTTATTACTTGTAAAACCAAAAATTTTACAAGAGAATTAATAAAAAAAAAACTCAAAAGAAAAACCAAAAAAAAATAAAATTCAACAAAAAAGAAATAATTAGATAAATCAATTTGTCAATTAGTTTAAAGTGTCAATTAGTTTAAAGAGATAATATATTTATTTAAATATAAGGATTAAACAATAAATAAAATAAATAAAAAAGCTGTGACTATATTTGACAACCATATTGGCTATCGAATATACTTATATTCGACAGTCAACCCACCCATGGCCTTCCCAGCAAAAAAAAAAAAAAATGAATTTCCCAACAAAAAAATTTGAATTTCTCGACAAAAAAAAAAAGAGAAAAAAAAAACTGTGACTATATTCGATAGCCATATCCTTATATTGGCTGTCGAACATAAATATATTCAACAGTCAATGGTTGTCGAATATAGTAACGTCGCCTTGCGCCTTCCCAGCAAAAAAAATTGAATTTTCCAGCTATTTAAATTTTAAACATATTCGACAGAATTTCTGTTGAATATGTTTGAAGTATAAATACCACTCCGACATCAAAACATCTCATTGTCTTCTAATTTTCATCTTCTTGCCTCTTCCCTTCTCATTCTCCTTCTCCTTTTTTCCGCAGATAACATCTCTCTTTGAGCTTCTTCTCCTTTTATTTTCTTTTTTCTTTCTTCTTTTACATTCTCCTCTTTATATATTCATAAATTACCTTTAATTTTGACAATCCATCATCTTCTTTCTTTTCATTCTTCTCTCTTTTTTGTTGAATTATTATTATTTAATATACTAATAGTTCGTTTTTTTTTTTTCAGACTTTTATACATTGATTATGAAGTAATGTGAGGTAAATTTTGTGATTTATACTTTTTATCTTCTTTTCTTTTTGTAATTCTTATTACTTGATATAGATTTTTTTTTGTTATTTTTGGCAGGAACAGGAACTTATTTCAAAATAATTAAAGTTAATGCTCATTTTAATTTTATTTATGATTATCTATTACTTTTTATATTATTGTTAAAATTGTTTCATAAATATATTGTTGGGGAACTTGATAATTGCGTTCGTTTTACTGATTTTTTATATAAAATT